CCCCACCCCAGCACAGATAATAGGAAGTCTAACCACCTCTGGAGATTTCTCCTGGCAACCACTTCGATTAATTTTTAAATAGCCTTTTTATTTTAGAACTTTTAGATTTACAGAAAAAGTGTGAAGATAGTACAGAGAGCTTCCATATATCCCTGCACCCAGTTTCCTCTAGTATTAGTATCTTATATTAGCTTGGTACATTTTTTACAAGTAATGAACCAGCAGCCTTGTTGTTAAGAGCGCACACTCTATCCACTGAGCCATCCGGGTGGCAGCTCAGCTCAAGGTGCCGAGTTCAGTCTTAGTTGCTGGCGGTCAGGCGGTTGTAGCCCACCATCGAACAGGCAGTCTTGTTGTTAGGAGCACGTGCTCTCACCAGCTGAGCCATCCTGCCATCCTGGCAGCTCAGTGGGGGGAGGGCGGGGGGGAGCGGACAGCGTGGTTCAGCGGTGAAGATCATGGACTTGCTGGGTTCAAATCCCGGGAAGTCTGGCACTGTCTGTGTCGCTGTTAAGAGCACCCACCTTGTTGGGGTTGTTGGGAGCGCTAAGTGAGCTGGTAGAGAAGAGCCTCATCAAAGGGGGTGCTTGAGGTGAGCCCTAAACAGCCCTGCAAAACAGGAGTTTCTTGAACTCTCTGCCCCTCAGTTTCCTCGTTTATAAAATGGGGCTGCTAATAACTACCTGCCTTGTAGGGTGGTTATGAGGATTGACTGAGTTACTATTAGAACTGTCTGGCGTATAGTAAGCTCTATATATTTACTAAAGAAAAAAAAAACAGCTGGTGTCACCAGAATGAATTTAAACGTCCCTCTTGTCTCTTGCCCCAGATTCAAAGTCCTAAGGAGGAAAGTGGGGGGAGCCGGAGGAGTGGATGTTGGTGATGTCCCACCTGCCAGGGTCAGGAGAGAGCAAGGGTCCAGTGGGTGGTCCTGCTTCCATAGGGGGAGGGCGCTGCCTCCCAGCAAGACTGACAGAGGCCCGAGAAATCCGGGAGGGTCCAGGTACAGGGCTGGGAGGCAGGGATTTTGTAGTAAGTGCTCAACAAAGAATTGTTGAAGGAATGAAAATTCATGAATGAATGAGCCAAATAGGAAGCCAAAATAAACACAACACCTACAACAAAGAGCAGAGCTCAGTTAGGGGGAGATCCCAGGAAGCAGGAGGAGGGAGTTGGGAAAAGGAGACAGGAACAAGGTCTTGATGTATCGCGGAGGTGGCAGCTAGGGTGATGTCTGCATTCACCTCTGCCCCTGCACCCTGTGGTCAGGTGGTCCCGGCCTGGGGGTGGGGGCAGAGGTGAATGGAAAGTTGCAGACATGGACCTAGGGCACATGACTGGTGACAATGGTAAAGATCTCTTTATCTGGCAAATTTTTTTTTTTTGGTTGAGGGGAGGAGTTGGGGTGGGAAAGTGAAAAGTGAAGAGCCCAGGGTGTCTAATGTGGCATTGTTGGGTTAGAGGGAAGCTCTGCAGGGTGTCACCTTTTGGCTACGTGACTTTGCTCTGTCACATGACTCAGCTCCTTCAGCTGGTAGGAGTACAGGGAGAAGAGAGTTGGAAACTCAGCTGACCTTTTCCAGAAGCTTTCCGCCCTGCCCCCATCACTGCGTCTGGGTCTCCATGTGGGCTAGTTATCTAGCAGGAAGGACCCCAGGGTCCTCCAGAAACTCCTCCTCCTGCCAGCCCTCCGAGATAGTTCTGGCCACACGGGCACGCCCCCAGGTGCTGGCTCACAGCACCTTACAACCTAGGAGCGCTCCCTTGGGGTTCCTTGACATTCTTTGAGAATTTTGATCATCTCCCCAAACTATGTTACAAATTCTGGGGTGGGCTCAAGGGGGAAGGAGGGCAGGGACTGAGGAAGATTCCCCAGGTGTGGCATAAAGGAAAAAGTGAGCCTGAGTTACGTGGCCCCACGTGGGAAGTACTTTGCTGGCAATGTCCCTTTAGATCTCACTCCAGCCCACGCACTTGACCATAATTTTGCCAGGTGGTAATTGCAGGGCTACGATTCAAACCCTAGATTCTGACCTAGGACCATAACAAACGGGACAGCATGCCCAGACTGACCGGAATGGTCAAGTCACTTAGCCACTCTGAGCTTATTGGGGTGGGCACCGCTCAGTGGGTGGCAGTTGGTGAGAGCTGAGAGCGGTGTGTCACCCCGAAAGGGCCCCAGGCAGGAGCCATGGGGCAGGTCTCCATGCCTGGCCTCCCTGCCAGCCACCCCCATGCTGGGGTGAGGCTCCTCTCCTTGGGCCCTGCTGCCCTCTGCTGGTCAAGGTCCAGGCGCCTGGCCAGTGCCCAGGGACGGTCAGGAGCAAGAGCTGGGAGTCCTGACACGTCCTGTGTTCCAGCACCCAGCTCTGGCTCTGCCACTCACTGCTTTTGGTCTCACTCTTTAGCTTTCTGAACCTGTTTCCTTGCCTGTAAAGCAGGGATTTGTGAGGACTGAATGAGGTAGGATGTGCAGAATGTCACCTACAGGGCATGGCCAGACAGAACTCTGTGATCCTCTTCTGGTGGGCAGACAGGAGCAGGGGTCCTAGAACAACCCTGTTTCAGATGCATGGGTGTGGTGGGTGAGCTCTGAGTCAGCTGTGTCTTTCAGTGGGCAGCACCTCCCCGGTCCTCCCATCCCCAGCTCCCCACCTGTTTAATGGCTGGAGCAGGCTGCCAAGTGAATACTGGACATTCCCCTCCCTAGTTGGTTGTGTTGACATTGGAGCTCCCACGGAGGATGGAGGATGGACGTTTGGAAGGCAAGGACTACATCCTGGTCACCCTCCACCCCCCTCGCCCCAGCCTTGCACTCAGCACTGGACCAGGTTTGATACTTCCACTGCACACGTAAGCCCTGGAGGAATCCTCCTGGCTCCCCTCACCGGGGCCAGCCAGCCTTACACAGAATCAGCTGCCTCCTACTCCATGTCCGCTCCCCTCTGAGGCTTCCCATCTTTGTCACCAGGAAGGTCTGTGCGCCCTCCCCCGTCCTCCCAGGGCATGGTGACTCAGATTGGGAAGAGAGAACCAGCATCGATCAAACATGTCCTTGCTTGCTCCTGCTTTGCAGATCCTGCAACAACCTTGCACGGTAAACACTGACCCTCATTTCATAGTAACTCTAGTTATTCATTGACTGAATAAGCACTAGTGGTATGAGTTCATTCAATCCTCCCAACACTCCAGGAGGTAGAGCCTACTCATACCCACATTTTCCAGTAAGCGCTAGGGACTCATCCAAAGTCACAGAGTTGGTAAATTGCAGAACCAGGATTGGAACCCAGGAAAATCCCCTACTTTCCACAATTCGACCTTAACCAGAAGCATTTAGCTTGGAGGTCAAGCCCTGGAACGTAGGGTGGGTGGTCAGCTAGTCCGTTTCAGATCTCTCTGCTCCTCAGCCTGGTCACAGGCTCTGTTAATTCTCTAGCCAGTGGCTTTGGGATGACTTCCTAAGGGCCATGAGTTCTCATCCTCCAAAGGAAGGGCCCCCAGGAGCTGAAGGAGGCCAGAGAGAGCAAAGAGGGAGATCTGAAGTGGGGTATCTGTCAGATGTGGGGCCCAGGGTGCTGTCCAGGCAGAGATGAGAGGAGTGCTTCATGACTCACAGAGTGCTCCCCACCCTGCCCCCTACAATGCCAGGGAGTGGCCTGTCCTGGAGGAAGTGACTTGGGGTCCCCACCTCCACCCCTTGCCTTCCCAGCAGACAACCCCGAGGCCCAGCAGAGGCGGTGCAGAGAAATGAAGACACTGTGGTTTGTGGCTGTCACCCCAGCTGGCCTCTGGCCTCTGGGCTGCATCCTCCCAGGCTCTAACTTGTCTGGCTGAGCCACCCTACCACACAGGGTTGTGAGGAATTGAAAGGGGGGGTTTGGTGGGTGAGGAGGAGGAGGAGAACCACCATCCACAATAACAACCCTCCCTGGCTGCTTGGTGGGCATCTCCAAGTGCTGCCACTCACGGTGCCTTCCTGTGAGACCTGGGATGGCTGCATGTGGCCGCTGGGAGGGACCGGGCCTAAGTTAAGTGGAAACGGACCACTTAACATTCCCTCCTATCCCAGTGCAGGTGTCTCAGTGTGTCAAAAGGGCTCACCTTCTCTGCCTTTCTCATGCAGGGGAGAGGCCAGCATTCTTCCCTCTCTGTGTCCCCACCCTTCCCACAGTACACCCTTGCTGTGTGGCATAGGCTACCCAGCCCAGAAGTCACATGACCTTGACTTGTGGTGGCTTGTTTCTTGTTTCTGGCCGTCTGCAGCTGCCCAACTGGTCTACGGCTCTCACCTCCACCCTCCCAGCCACCTGGTCCTGCCACCAGACCTGTCATCTTAAGGAGTCCAACCTGGCCTTTCCCACAGCATGGAAAGAAAGCCCAGCTCCTTGGCCTAGGGGCCCTGGCAGACACAATGGATGCTTTGGTGCGCATGCAGTGAGGTGGGAATGAGGAAGCCAGCAGATCCATAGGCTTCCTAGAAGTGTCTGAGCTGGGCCCTGAAGGATTTGGGGGTGCAGGGGATTTGGACAGGCAGTGACTGGGAAGAAGGGTGTGCTGAGATGGGGGAACAGCTTGAGAAAAGGCTTGGAGGCTGGTATGGGTCGTTAGTGCTCCTAGGGTATGGCTGGGGTGTCAGGTGTCCAGGCGGAGAGACTGGAGGCTGGGAGACTTTTGTGGCAATCTAGGCAGGCGCAGATGAGGGCCTGAAGTAGAGCATTGGTGCACAGCAGCCATCCATTTGTCACACCACAGTTCTTTAGTGCTTCCTGTATGCTAGGCACAGGGGATTCGGACTCACCCAGTCAGTGCTCTAGGGGAGCTGGCCATCCCACGGGGAGACAGCCAGGACCATGTCAAGTGGTGACCAGCTCTCAAAGAAAGTAAAGGGGAGCAGCTAAGGGTGAGTTAAGGGTGGTGTAGACTCCAGCGCCTACATGGGGTGGGCTCCTAACTACCATGGAACATGTGTGTAAAGGCATTTCAAAACGAGAGTGACACAATAACAGGCGATGTCGTTTTAGTTGTTACGGTTACCACTGGGAAGGGCAGGGGGAAGCAGGAAGGGGTGAGGTGTGAGTTCTGGTGGGGGATGGGGTCGTGGGGTGAGTTGGAGGGCGGGTTCCAAGGACCACCTGGTGCTGCCTGAAGGTGCAGCCCCAGGAATAGCCGCGAGGTGGCGCCAGGCCGCACGGCTGCTCCCGGATGTGCAGGTCCAGGGCTGGGAGCTGGGAGTGTTAGTGACTGTAGGGGACTCCAGGACTAGCCCTCCGCAGGGCTGGCGGGCCCGGGAACCCCCTTCCTCAGGCCTCAGAGGGGTTTCGCTTCGGCCCACGAATCCCCGCCCCGGGGTCAGGGGCCCGGCTTCGGTGGTGCCCATCTGTCTGAGGGTCAGTTCGGAGGTCACAGTCTGGGGACTGGGTCCAGCCCAGCCAACTAGGCAGAAGGCCAACGCCCAGCTCCTTCCGGTGCTGCTGGGGCTGTCGGGGCAGGGAAGGCCCCAAGCCTGTCAGGTCACCACGCAAAAGCTCCGAGTAATCCGCCGCCAGAAGTTGCGACTGCGGCTGCTGAGGGCCACCTCCGCAGCCTCCTGGAAGACGGCATGGACGTTTTCGTGGAGCAGAGCTGAGCACTCGAGGTAGGCCACGGCGCCCACGGACCTCGCCATCTCCTGGCCCTAACAGGGAGAGTGGATGAGGCAACCGTGAGGTGGGGGCTGCTGGGTGCCTCACGTCCAGCCCCCCCCCACAGCCCTCTTGACCATCCTAGGGCGTCTCTAGGGCAAAAGTGGAAGGTAAGTTTTTCTACGGTACCCACAGTCCCTCCCCTTAGCTTGACCAAGCACTCTCATGGCTTCATTGGGCTTCCTGCCTCGGTTCTGGGCTGGGTCGCTGCCTCTCAAAGTACCAACTAATTAAGTTCCCAGGAGTGTAGCAGAGAGCAGCCTGCAGATTGACGAGCTGAGGGTCCCCTCTCTACCTCAGGTTTCCCATCTGTGAAGTGGGTGGGTAGGACTATCTGATGTGCATACCACTTGCTCTCCCTTGTACAGGTGGAACCTTCCAGAGTATTCTAGGTACCACTTCCAAGCATCAGCCATTCCTGACCCCTGACTGCCTCCAAAATGACCCCTACCCTGCCCCACACCCTGAGTGTGCTGGACTCTTGGCGCTATTGAGAGGCTGGGTCGGGTCAGCATATGTTCCCTCTCCCAACACCCCTGCCTCTGGGCTGGGTCGCCTACCCTGTGGTAAGTCACGGGCTCCAACCTATTCTTCCGCAGCTTCTTCACCAGCGACCTGTCTTTGCGCAGGTCAGTCTTGCAGCCCACAACGATGATGGGCACCTCCTTGCAGAAGTGACTCACCTCTGGGTACCACTGCAGGGAGGAGGGCAGCGAGGGTGTGTGTGTTAGCCATCAGGAGTGCTGTCCCTCTGGGCAGATGGGAGAATGGGCTGCTCTCCTGCTCCCCACACAGCCCCCAATGCGAGCATCAGCACAGCCAGCGTTCAGGGAGACCTACTCTGTGCCAGGATCTAAGACTTTACACCTGTGAACTCATTAACCCCCAGGTGCCTATGAAGCAAGTTCTAGCATCAGTCCCATTGTACACATGTGGTAACTGAGGCTCAGAAAGAGTATATAACTTGGCCTTGGTCACACAACTGGAAGTGGCAGGATTTGAGTCTAGGACCCTGCTCCCACCCATCTCTAGAATCCTGCCTCTCTGTAAGGTAAGTGTTCCCATGACTGCCTCCCCTACTCGGTGAAATATATCAGCAAATAAGTGATCCTTTAAAAATAAAGCATCTCACAACACGGTTGCCGCAGCTGTTTGCCTCTTGGAGGGAGCACTGCCATTCTGGGTCAGCTGTTCTTTGGAATGTGAGGCTCCAGGCCTGGTTATTTCAGCCTGGGCTACAACCTGGGAGCCTGGAATCCAGAGACAGGGGCTTTATATGTCCAGGAGCAAATGCCTGCTCAGTTTGTCTGTTCAGAAAAAACTGGCATCAAACCAGCCAGCTCCTGGAGCCAGATGGGGCCCGTAGGGGGTCCTGGGCAGACCACCCACACCCCCAGCCGTCCACAGAACTGCCCTCGGAAAGGGTGTCCTCCATGACTCCACCTTGCTAAATCCAAAGTTAAGTCCTCAGCCCTTACTTTACCTGAGCCCTGACACTGGGTACTGCGTCCTCCTCCGAGACCCAGTCTGCACTTCACTTCAGGATACCTCTCTCTCGGTTCTTCTTGGATCTCACTACCCCCCCCCCCCCCCCAGCTCAAGCCGTGGGCGGGCCTCTCCTCTAGCTGCTCTTGCCCTCCAGGTGATCACCAGGTGACCACGCCCAGCCCATGGCTCTTCCCCACCAGCAGCTCCTAAATGTATCTACCCAGCCTGGCCTGGCCCAGCTGTCTCCAGGAAACTGCAGACTCAGACTTCTGCCTGCCTATCCATCACCTCCCTGGGATGTCCAGCAGGGCCCCCATCTCCCACCTCCTCACCCCCAGCTTGCTCCTTGGGAAATGGCCACCTTCCAGTTGCTCTGGTCAAAACGTCTCTCCCACCTGCATCCAAACTGTCTGCATATCCTGATGGCTCTGCCTTGCAGATTCAGTACCCGCCCACCTCTCACCACCCCGTCTAATAGCACTCCGGTCCCAGCCACCACCATCTCGCCTGGCCCCCAGTGCCTAGAACAGCGCCTGACACATAGATTTGTTCAATCAGCACTTCTGAATGGCTGCATGGAGCAGGCTGCCTGGGTTCAAATCCCTATGTTCCCACTTCATAGATGTGTATCGTGGGGCAAGTGATGCAATCTGGGGATAGTAATAGTATCTGCTCCCTAAGATTTGTAAGGGGGTTAATGAGTTAATATATGTAAGTGCCTGGAACAGTGCCTGGCACGTGGCAAGTTCTAATGAATGCTGCCATCATCACTGTGTTATTATTACTAATGCCATCTCTGGCTGTGCTCTGAAGAACCCTGGTGCAGTTTGGGTGGTAATGTGTCGTGGCCGGAGCAGAGAATTACTCAAGGGACCACATGCCTGACACCTGTGAGCAGTTTCTGGAACCCCTGACATAACTGGAAGGCTGCTGAGAGGCAGTGGTCACACAGATGGAGGTTGAGAGCTGCTGGAAGCTGATGGTTCATGTGACCTTGAGCAGGCCCAGGCTGGGGAAACTCAGGGGTCTCTGGGTCACCCAGCATTCTCAGGCAGGGTCACAGTAGAAAAAGCCACAGCATTCTGAGACTGCAGTAGAGGGCAGGCAAGGAGCACTGGACTGGGAGTCAGAAGCCAGACCCTGCCACCAAATCCCTGTGGGACCCCCAGCTAGTCGCTGACCCCCTCTGGGCCTCAGTTTCCCCATATATATGCCAGAGGCACTGGCCTTGATGTCATACAGGGCCTGCTGAGCTCTGACAGTCTGCTGGGTCCAGAGTGCGGGTGGAGCAGTGTGGCCTGGCTATGGGGGCTGTGCCTCCTGCCCGCTACTGCCTCCCCCAGTACCTACCCGGTTAAAGATGTTGTCAAAGCTGTTTGGGCTGGTGACGTCGAAGCAGAGGAGCAGGATGCTGGCGTCAGGGTAGAACAGGGGCCGCAGGCGGTCATAGTCAACTTGTCCTGGTAAGTGGGGGTGGTCACTCCTTCCGATCTCCTGCCCACTGTCAGTTCCTCCCGCAAATCAAGCAGGTATTCCCACCAGACCACACACGTGTGTGTGTGTGTGTGTGTGTGTGTGTGTGTGTGTGTGTTGGGGGGCAGGGGGCGCGGATCAGGGCCTAATCCTGTGCCTCAGGGTCTAAATTTCGCACTCAGGTGGCCATTCCTCATGAATGTTCCCCTCTGGACAGTGTTCCCTGCCTGCCCACGGGATATGCCAGCCCTGGCCTGGGTGAGGCCACTTGCTGGGAGAGCTCTGTTCTGGAAGGGGGAGCAAGGCAGAGGCCTAGCCTAAAGGGACTGAGCGCATCACTAGGAAGATTGCTTTGTCCTTGACTTGGGGAGTAAGGAGAAAGAGGCAGGCGGGACCCCAGCAAAAACATCTTTGCCCATCAAAGGTAAAGGGGCTACTGGGGCTGCCTGAGGTTAGCTTTAAGCTCTGGAATAAATTTGTCTCTGAAACCTCATGTGAGTAAGGTCAGAAGGCTGGAGGGCAGAGGTCAAAGTTGGCAGCTCTCACAGAAGCTAAAACCAGGTTGGAATGCTGAGGAGGCCAGGCTAGTCCGCTCCTTGAGAACAAAGAGCTCTGGACTCCCCGTGGGCAGCCCTGGGGTGGAGGAGGCAGCAGACACAGGTGCAGAAGAAAGGAGGGTTCAGGTTCCTGGCCCACACCTGTCTCTTGGAGATTGGCTGGCCTTCCCGATTCAGAAGGAAGGGAGTGGGGTTTGGCTTGGGGCATCTGGGGCCCCTCCTTCCATCCTGCCCCTCCCCCAGCCTTGCACACCCACCTGCTGTGTCCCAGATTTGGAGGTGCACTGGTTTGCCCTTTATTTGTAGATTAATGGTGAGCCGCTCAAACACTGTGGGGGTGTAGCTCTGAGGAAAAAGAGGCAAGGAGAGGCTGTGAGGACAACCAAAGGGGGCAGGCCCCAGTGCCCAGGCCAGAGCCCAGGAATGCCCGTGGTACCGCCCTCTGGGAGTCTGCAGAGTGCAGTAGTTTCTGGAAGTGGTCAGCTGGCGGGGTTGAGGCCTAGAGCCGCCACTTCCTAGCTGTGTGCCTGGCAAGGCACAGACCTCCCGGGCCTTCTTCTCTGCGGTTGTAAAGTACCCACCGCAGTGTGTTGCTGAGATGCCCCACACACAGACCTTACTTAGCACAGGGCCTGGCACAAAATAAATACTCCATACATGCCAGCCACTGTTATTTTTGTCTTTGTCCCCCTGGACGGAGGACCGTCCCATTTCTGAGCCTTCCTTCATGCTGTCCCCTCCTCCTGGAATGACACAAACCTACACTTGTTCGTTCATTCATTCATTATTCATTCATTCATCTGCACCTTCCCCAGGACCAGTTCTGGGCACTGGAAGCAAGTAATAAACAAGACTCAGCGCCTGCTCCAAGGAGCACGTTGCTTTTTGGGGTCCCTCCTTTGCTTCTCAAGCTCTCACAACCCAACCAAGACCCCTGCCCAGGGCCACCTCCCCCAGGATGCCTTTCTGGGTCCCCTCCCACAGCTCGCGCTCCATCTCTGCCTCTCTTACTTTCCCTGTCTGGACTCAGGAGGTCAACCGGGCCAGAGGCCCCCAGGCCTGCTCTGCTGGAGCTGGTTCCTCTCAACAAAGCCTGGGTAAATGGAAACAGGATGGCTTTTGTACACAAATGCCAAAATGCAGAGGGGAGCTTTTACAGGTGGGGTCTGAGCAACAGGTAAAGAGGTTTTCAAAACTCTGCAGCACATGCCCTCTGCCCCTAGGGGCACCTTGGACCCCTGCAGCTTGTGTCCCCAGGCCTCGCTCACCTGCTCCGGGCTGGTCTGTGGGGCCACAGCCCGGGAGACCCTGTCGTCCCCCCATTTCCCATGCCAGGTAGACCCCCCAGCAGCCAGTGACTGGCCCTGAGTCAGGCCCTGGCCGCTGGAGGCACAGCCCCAGGTGGTGGGTTGGTGCAGTTCTACTGGCACTTGGGAAGCTGCAGGGGGAGGGTGGGGACAAAGGGTCCCAGAGTGGGCAGCTGAGGCAGATGGAGACTTTGAGGATGGCCCTGAGGTAGGGGTTCAAGCTACCCTGGAATCTATCACCTGTCACCCCCTCTACTGATAGGAACAGAAGAGGCTCCACCCACCACCCCATGTCCCCCTGCCTGACCAGGGCCCCTCCCCTCAGGCCCATTGCCTGGCAGGGGACAGTGTGACATGGTGGCTAGGAGCGCTGCTTTGGTATCAGATGTGCCTGGCTTAGGACCAGCTCTGGCATTAACCATCTGTGTGACCTTGGGCCAGTCCCCTCACTGAAAGGAGAAGAGTGTCACCTCACAATGTGATAGGGAAGACTGGCTGGCAGGTGAGGTCAAGCATAAATGCCCAACCACTTAGAAAGCTGGTTGCCAGGGACAGTGTCCATGCCAGCCACTCCCATCCCTCCAGCTGGTGCCCCCTTCCTCAGCCACTCCCTAGTCTGTCACTGGAGGGCACTGATGCCTGCTGAGCTCTCAGCTTGGCCACCCACTCACCAGTAGCGGAGTCCTGCACAGAACTCCTGCTTTGAGGTGCAGAGCAGCCTGCCACCAACCTCTTGGGAGACACATGTCACTACTTTGCAAATACCTGTGGAGATGACACTGTCACCCATTTTCCTGGAGGACACTGAGGCCCAGAGAGGGGAAGTGACTTGTCCAAGGTAATACAATGGACAGCTGGCTAAAGATGGAGCCAGGTCTTTCTGGTTCCAGAGGCCAGGTTCTGTCCCCAGTCACCTGCCTCTCCTGAGGTCATCAACTCTAGCCACCAGTGGGAGTGAGCAGGAACGCCCCATTTCAGGGTGTGGGGTTGGGCTGCTCCTCTGGCTTGTAATTGTCACAACCCTTTCCCCTACTCTGGAATGTCATCCTGGAGACTCTGTCTACATCTTCTGTTGTGTTCTTTGAATCCCTAGGCAGGGTCACTCTCTGCCCATAGGGCCAATAAGCACTTAATCTTATCTGTTGAGCTGTCCTCAGCCAGAAAAACAGGGCCGGGCCTGGGCTAGGCCAGGGCAGAAATGACTCAGGCTTGGCTTTGCCCTCACGGCGCTCGCAGACAGTTGGGTCATTACAGGATGGGGGCTGTAGCTCAAGAGAGGCGAGTCGGGCTTCTCTGGGCAGCACACCCATGGGAGTCTGTGTGGACCAGGAAGACTCAGCTGGTTTTGGAAGGCAGGGCTGGTGCTCCCTGTCCCCTCCCCTCTTCCCTGCTGTGGGGCCCCCCCGAGGCTTTGGTCCTGTGAGAATGGTTGCTGCCCCAAATGCCAACCAGGAGCGCCCCTGCCTCAGGAGCTCGTTCTACTCTGCTCCCCCTGCCCTAAGCCTGAGGTTGGGCCCAAGCCAAAGGCTACTGAGGTCCCTCCAAATCCCAGCCTGTTCTCTGCTCTTTGCTGCAGTCAGAAGGCCTGGGAGATGGGGCCCCAAGTCTCCGAGCTCCTGGCTCCCTGGGCTTGGAGGGCTGCCAGAAGGGGATCCCAGGGACAGGAGCAGGAGAAGGCTGGGTCCAGCAGGCAGAGCACTGGGGGCTTTGGAGAGTGTCCTGGTCAGGGGTGGGGAGACCTGCGTTCTAGACCAGCACTGCCTCTGCTGGGCCCTGGGCCCTGGGCCCCAAGGCAGGACTCTGTCTCTCGCCTCAGTTATCCTATCTGTAAAATGAAAGCTTTTCCAGCTCCAGAACCTTGTATTTCTTTTAAATGAAGAGGCCTCTCTTGTGCCTGGACGCAGAGGGGTCCCTGGGAATTCAGGGTCCCCAAACAGGGAGGAGCCTAGACAAAGCTGGGTCCATCTTCTTGGTGACAAGCATGCCCTCCCTTCCCCTGGCCAGCTCCAGCGTGTCCTCCAACACCCACCTTTTGTCAACTGCGCGGCGATGCCCACTTCCACACTGTAACCTCTCTGAAACCAGGATGGGTCTCATTGTCAAGGACGTCTCAGAGCCCAGGACACTGGTGATGAGGCACCACCCCTCCCAGCCCCCCTGGTGGTCCCTACTAGCCTGGTCCCTCTGTGGCGTGCTTCCCACTGTGCCATAATTGTTGGGTTCCCATGGGCAGCATCTGGGGGCCTGGAAACACCCCCACACACACACACACCACAACTTAAAAAAAAATGTGACTGGCCAAAGGAGGTGACGTCAGCTCCATAAACCACAAAAGAGTCAGCTCAATGCTGCCACAGGGGAAGAAAAGTCCAACACTGTTATGGGGCTTGGCCTCTCCTGCCTCCCCAACCAGACTTCCTAGCGCCTGTACAACCTCAGAGGTTTGCAGGATGCTGGCATAGGCAGGAGGGAGAAGAGGTGCTGTAAGCAAACCTGTGGACTCCCAGGAGAGCTAGGCTGAGAGGTGGCATGGTGGGTGGGTCCAGCCCATCCTGGTGCCTGGTGAGTCCGCCTGGACCATCAGTGAACATGCTAGTGAAGGACCGACAGTCAACATGCCCTGAGCACCAAGGATGTGCCAGGTACCAAGCAGAGTCATCTCTCAGCCTGACTTTAATTCTCACCAGCACCCTGGCTCCCTCCACCCCATGAGGTTGTGGGAGGAAAAGGAGGCTCAGAGAGGCTAAGCAAGCTCCTGAAAGCCCCACAATTTGTTAGACAAGCACCAAGGGACCAACCAGCTGTCTGACTTGCGTCTGGTTCTCTTACGCTCCAAGGCAGAGCCCGTGGGATGTCCGCTTTAGGGGCAAATCTGGGGGAGAAGAAACGATGTTTCCCAAGTGAGTCCTTCCTGTTAAAGATTCCGAGCTGAGCACCTGACCTGTATTAACTCGCTCTTCACAGTGACACTGGGAAGTGGGCACCATCATTATTCCTATTGTGCAGTTAAGGACACGGGCACAGAGAGGGTAGGGGACTTGCTCAAGGGCACACAGCTGTAAGTGGCAAAGCCATGACTTGAACCCAGGCAGTCTCCAAAGTCGTTAGTCCCTCTTAGCCATGCTGTGCCACCAAGTACTCCCATAGGACCTGCCACTACCCAGGTTGCCAAAGCCAGTCCCAGTGCCACCTCTCCCAGGTAGGTGCCATCCTCCAAAATGATATCATTGAGGCCCTCACTCCTGATGGCTGAGGGAGAATTGCCTCTGACCCCACACTCTGCTAGGAGACGTCTCGGGAGGCCAGCGTGGGCACACATCTTGGGCAGCTCCCGCACAGACGGGGCACACCGGGCGCCGGTGCGTAACCGCGACCAGGCGGGGATGCGTGCACAGCAGTGTGCGCCCGTGCCTGGAGGGCTCTGGCACTCACCTCGGGGAAGGCCCCTTCGGCGAAGACCATCAGCAACGACGTCTTCCCGCAGCCGCCGTCGCCCACCAGGACCACCTTGACGGACCGCACGCCTGGCGGCGCCTCCTCACCCGCAGCTTGGGCCGCCTTCATCGCGGGGCCGGCCGAGGGGCCGAGCGCGCAGCGGCGTCCAGCCGGGATGCAGCGAAGGCCGGGTGCGGGGCAGGCCCGGCGGGGCAGGAATGTGGAAGGGGCGGGGCGGNACCGCCTAGTGACATCTTAGATGCTGTAATGCTGTGGCACAATGCACTATAATTGCCTACAATTTAAGTACAGTAACACTTTGTACAGTAGCCGAGGTATGCGGTAGGTTACACCATCTAGATTTGTGTAAGTGCACACTATGATGTTCGCACAATGACGGTATCTCCTAATGATGCATTTCTCGAACGTACCCCGCTATTAAGCGAGGCATGGCTATATTTAAAAGCGCTTTGGTTTAAATTGGAAAAGGAAAGGCTAGGCTTCTGCAAGATTCTATTCTCAGTCCTTTCACTCCCCACCCCACCCTCTACTCCCAAGCTTTATGGACTGCTGAAGGACTAAGTTGTTCTAGAAAGGTCTAGAAGCTCATACAAGCTATTACCTGAACCAAGGGACTGCTCATAGTTTTATTATTGTTGTTGCTAAGAAGTAAATTTGGCTCGCGGGCATATTCTAAATGAGGAGAGTTTGAAAAGAAGAAGCCAGGATGAGCTGTATTGGACACAGAAGGACAGGATAACCCCCACCCCAACCTCTGCATTCCCTCATGGCTCAGGGAGGTGGGCACACACAGGTGAGGTTGGGTACACAGGGCTGTGAGAACTGCACCGTGCTTGCCCACCCAGGGCAGTGCTTTTCCGTTCCCACGGGAATGCCAGTTCAGCATCACTGGACCTTCTGGTGGCTCTTTAAAGAAAAGCCAGATACCTGGATATAGTGTGTGCAGTTTCTTGATTTTTTAAATGTTGCAACCAATTTGCAAAAAATATAAACACTGTTCAGGCACAGTGTAAAAAGCTGCTTGGCCGTGGCGAGCCCCTTTGTAGCCCCTTGAAGTATTCTGTGGGTTCTCTTTGGGACTGGAGTCAAATCAGAGGGTGAACATTTTCCTGGGCATTTTCCGGAATCCTGGGGTTCTCCCCAATGTGGGGCTCTGAGGCCCAGAAGTTATGGCGCCTTGATCCAGACATATGGGCTATCCAGCACATATGCGAGTGCCTCAAGTCCCAGGGGGGAGGCCTCGAGAAGCAGGGTAAAACAGGGCCCTGGGCGAAGCCCTGCCAGGTGCACAGACAGCTCCGTGCTCCCAGCTCCCCTGCTGATGCCCACATGCCCACGGTGAGATGTGGGTTGTCATGGTGATGGGAGGGCGGTGTTAACCAGGAAGGGCTTCACCTGCATTGACGCAAAGTGGAAGCTCATTCCTGGGACCTGGGCTGGAGATCATGATGATAGCTATTCTTGCCAACACTCCTTACATGCAAGCACAGCTCTAAGCACTTTGCCAATATATATATTACCTCATTTAATCCTCTAACAACCCCATGAGGCAGGGGCTATTATTACCTCTGGTTTGCAAAGAAAAGTCTTGAGTCATAACGGTAAAGCAATTTGCCCCAGGTCGTGCAGCTAAGAAACGGTTCCACTCGGGCCATCTGGCTCCATGCTCCTACCCCTGTGCCCAACTTGCAGGCAGGTATGTGGTTTCGAAAGTTTCATAACAACCTGCAGGCCAAATCGGGCACTGTGGACAAGCCCAAGGTGGCCTTAGTTCCTTGCAGAAGGGGGTCTGGACACAACAAAACACACACATTAATGTGAACACACAGGTACCAGCCTGCCTCTGCCTTGCTGGGAATCCGATAATGCCAGTGGCTTTCTTTCCTGCTCACCTGGCACAAGCTGACTTCGGGAGAGTGAGGCTGCCCTGGGATGGCCAATGCCAGCAGCATGGGCTGGGTACACCCCTGCAGCAAGTTCACGTGGTATGGGACAGGATCTGCTGATCAGACCTCTGGCTGTCCAGGGGCCCCCATCCCTCCAAGGCTGGTCCAGCTCAGACTCCAGACTCCCACACTGCCTGCCTTTCTCCCTCCCTCATCACAAACGCCCCTTGCCTGGGAGGTGTGAATGGCTCCAGGCACACCCAGACCAGCAGCAGTGCTTTGTGAAGGGGCAGACGCCAGAGCACATCTGTCTGAACAAAGGGAAGAGAGAACTGGGGGGAGAGTCAGGGCTCCTGGGTGGGGGACAGTGTGAGCCCAGCTGTGAATCCCAGATGTGTCCCCTCACTTGCTCTGAGCCTCAGTTGTCCCATCTGTAAAATGGGGCTCATGCCTGCCCTATCAGGGTGCCAGGAGGGTGAAATGAGAAGTAAGTGTGGTCAGGCATAGTAAATATTAGCTGTGGTGGTCTTAGCATGGCAATCGTCCAAAAGGCCCGCTTGCTCCTTGTTTAAGCTGTGGAAACGTGTGGTCAGCACTGCCAGCCTATAGAGGTGTTTCACTTGTCTTAAATTTAAGTGAGTTCCCAACATTTAAAAATTGGGAAATTTCCCATTAACAATGGATTTCAAAAAAGAAAAGCAGGGCCGGCCGAGTGGNCTCCGTCATTTCCAAAGCTGCTTAGAGTGTTCCCCTTCCTGCCTCCCTCCTCCGACTTGCTCCTGCCCAGGACCCCTTGGTGGCTCCCCATTGCCAGCAGGACAAGGAACTTCACCTTCAGCCTGGACACAAGGCTGCCCCAGCGCAGCCTGGTCTCTCCTCAGCCGGCTGTGTGGCTCCCCAGACACATGGAACAGTTGTGCTGGCAGTTCCCCTGCTTGGAGGCCCCTCTCTCTCCTCCATATGTACAGTCCACCCGCCCTGCAAAGCCAGAGCTCATGTTTCCATCTCTGGGGAGCTCTCCCCGTCCACCTTCATGGGCTCCTGCAGCAGCCTGTCTCCCTGGTGTTGGGGGAGGGGGGGGGTTCCACAGAAGCTCTTCACAGTCAGGCCCTGGGGTGGGCAGGCTTCCTGGGGTATGTTGGAAATTCCCACCCCAGTTCTCTTCCTCCCACACTTACTGTGACCTTCCAGGAGAGGGCAAGGGGAGACCAGAGCAGCCTGGGATCCAGAGGGGCTCCTCTGCTGCCCCTCAGCCCCACCCTCGAGGAGTTGAGGGACGGGGGTCGGCCTAGTGGTTAAGAGCATGCGCTCCAGCGCCAGACAGCCTGAATTTTGATCCTAACTCTAAGACTTTTTGGCTGTGTGATCTTGGGCTAGTTTCCTAACCACTCTGAGCTTCAGTTTCCATATCTGCAAAAAGGGGATGACGACAGGACCTACCTTGAAGTGTTGCAGGGTTGCAGGCTGGGCACTAGCTCTCACTGACTTGTACAGCTCTTCTTCCTCCAAGCCTGGCCCCTGGCTCCCTTCTCCCCATCCTCTAACTTTGCTCTAACAAGGTTGATAAATCAGCCAGGTTTTGTCCACTCCTGCCCTTTACCGTATGTTGTTTCCTCTGCCAGGAATGCTTTTTGGGCCTTATCCACCTTTTGTGATCTTACGCTACTTCTTGCCCTGAAGACTCAGGTCAGCAACACCACCGGAAGCTGTCCTTGATGTCCCTGATAGGCATCCTCCCCACCAGGCCTGGCTCAAGGCCCCTTCTCTGAGCTTCCCAAGCAGCCTGGTGGCCCTGGTCCTTGTCTCCCCAACCAGACTGGGGCCTCCCTCTCATTTGGACACCCAGCTGCAGGGGTCGGAGGGGCTCACAGTAACGGGGCAGAGGCCCGAGTCCCTGGTTCCTGTAGAAAAGATGAAGGCGATCCGGGCTGAGCAGGACTCTTCGGAAGCCCCCTCCTTCCTGCCCCAGCTTTATTTTGGTTCTAGCTTCATTCCAGTCAGCATACTCGGTCCCCACCACACCCATCCCAGGTGCACAGTCAACATTTCATGCAGTTAGAGGGAGGGGAAGAGGGGGAAGAGAAGGTGGAAATACATGGCCTGCACTGCATAGCCATTGGGGTAGAAAGAATCCAGGGTCTCCCAGGCTGCAGCGGTTCCCCAGCTGTGTGTCCCTGCGCCCTAAGCTGGCCTGGGCTGTACAGACCTCCTGGTGCTGGTACAGGGTGGACAGCCTGGCCCCAGGGCTGGGCCATGGCTGTGTCAGGTGAGAGTCACAGTCCTGCCTCTAGTCCCAATTCTACACTGGGATCCCACCCTGTTCCAGCCATCCCCTCCTGCTACATCACTGGGGATAACTGGTGGGCCTGGGTCTCCATGGCTCGCCAGGGCCAGAGGCGGCCAGCCCGAGAGCCCATGCACTTATGTGTGGGTGGCCCCATAGAGTAGATACTGATCCCTCCCGCCCCCAACCCTTTGAACCAGCAGGGACACCCACCCCTCAGCTGGGGCACCCACCCGTTTCGAAGGGTGCACAGCTGCCAGCTTCTCTGGGGCTGCCTTTGGTAGATGGGAGCTGCCCCCGCCAGTGACCCTTCCTCCAACTGGGGGTGGGATGGTAGCCAAAGATGATGCATGTGGGGGTGTAACAGCCCAGCCCTTTTGCTTCTGGGCGGGACCCCTCTGGGGTACTATTCATACTCTGAGCTCCCCAAGCTATCAGGCTGAAGCTTGACTCCCCTGAAGCCACAACTTGCTTGCTGCACCCAGGCTTCCCTCTTTCCCTTACAGGTTTCTCCTGAGGGCTGTCTCCCAGAGACCCCTTGCCCGAGAAGCCTCATCTCAGGGTCTGCTTTGGGAACTCGCCTGAGGACATCCTGTGTCCTGGGGGTCTGAACGGTGCCCCAGAACCATCTCCTTCCCAGCCTGACTTTCCATCCTAACTCCCCTCTACTGCCCCTCACTGCTCAGACTGTCCCTCCCTCCAAGGCCCACCCCAAGGGCCTTCTGCTCCACCACGACCTCCCAGGGGCCTGAAGCCCACAGAGGCCTCTCCCATAGACCCTACCGCCCACCAGTCCCCCACAGGCTGAGGCATCTCTCTTTCCAACAGGGCCAGGCCTCGAAAGACTCCAACAAACGCCATGCCTGGCTTGTGTGGGACTGAACATAAGGACCTGGATCTGGGCCTCTGTGGGCCTCGGGGCCTTGTAAGGGTTATGGTTCAAGGGAGCAGAATGACTCTGGAGCCAGTGTCCCACATGGCCTGCGGGCCTCTGCTTGGCACGGTCTCTCGGTTTCTTCTCCTGCCCAGAAAGAGGCCCTTGTGTCCACTGCAGTGGGCTGAGGACTGTGTTTGCACAGGGAAGTTCACATCCCTGCCATAGTCTGGCTAGGCCGCCTGCCTGGGACACTCTCAGTTCTTTCCTTGCCCCCCAAACCACAGCTCCCATCTCCCAGAGTCCTCCAGCCCCCAGAACCCTCCCCCCGTCTGCCTGGCTGGGCCACCATTCAGCACTGAGCAGATCATCAGCATGGGGCATTTTGTCTTCCTGATGTCCTAGGGGCTGTGTCTTGTTCATGCCACCCCTGCTGATGTCGAGGACAGTGCCTGGCTACCAAGACTTGCTCGGTCCCAGTGCGTGGCCTAGCTTGGCACTGGCCTTCCAGCAGGGATAGGGTATGGGGAACTCCGAGAGGCCAAGGTCGCCCCAGGCCAAGGGGCACACCTGTGGGGGATCTCAAAATGGGAGAACAATGGGCCAGTGCCCAGCTGCCCTCCTGGGGCCTGGCCCAGCCACAGCTGGTCCTCAGNATTTCCCCCTGGGCTCTGGAGACCTAGCACACCACCTTCCTCTCTCCAGGTGTTTCAGCCAGGTAGGAATGGGGTGACTTGGGCATGCCCTTATGGGTCAGTCACCGGTACTGCCAGGCATGGTCTGCCCTCCCACAGTCAGCACCAGAAAGTTTCGCTGCAGGTGGGTGACCACCTGTCTGACTTCTGGCTGGGGCATGATCTGGGGAAAGCAATGGAACCTTCCATCGATAAAGTGCTTGGATGATGCCATGTGTGAGTGATCCTTATTTAACCAACGTTGATGGCCCCTCTGTGCCCAAGGGCCCGGGGGACCCTAAACATTTAAGAAAAAGTCCCTACTTTGAGAAGCCCGTGTCTAGAATGGGAGACAGGCAGGGCATCAGCATGATAAGAGCTACAACAGAGGTGGGACAGGAAGGTTGTAGGGAAGAGGGGCCCCTCACTTGGGTTGTGGGGGGATGTCAGGAAACCCTTCTGAGAAGAGGGGCTAGTCTTGAGGAAAAAGTGAGACAGATGGGGGAGGGGAAAGGTGTTCCAAACTGAGGGAACAGCCCGTGTAAGGCATGGACACGAGAGGCGGGGTGCTTTGGGGTTATAGTCCTTCCCCATAACAGAGGGCAAAGTGGGTTGGGGAGCTAGTGCTAGGGTGAGGCTGAGGGTTAACAGGCCTGGATAGTGGGGCACTTTGGATGCCAGGAATTAATACAGAATTGAAGTGGAAACTGTCACCTGACCTGTCACCCATTAGTAGCCAGAATTGACATCTTTTAAAAATGGGCACAGGGGTCTCCCCAGATCCTGGACTGAGTGTTTTTGTTGACGCTCAAAGAAACGGGGCAGAAGTCTTTGGGTTTCACACTCCCCCAACCCCCATGCAGGTCATGATATCATCTGCATAGAGTTCAAAGCTGGGCACCTGAAAAAACGCCTTTGAACTTCACTGTGGCCCAAAGAGGCGGCCAGGGCAGGAGTCTCCGCCCACACGGCAGAGGCGGAGCCCAGACCCCTGACTCCTCCTCCGCGATCACCCAGGGCCCCAGTCAGCAGGCTGAACGGAGACTCACCTTGTTGGATGGAACATCCCAGGACCTCCCCACCCTTCAGGTGCCCCTTCCTCCCCGAAACTGCCACAGGGCTGGGCAGTGACTTAGCACGGGGCTGGGTGTGTAACCACGGAGCAGAGATCTCCGCCCCAAGGAGTGGTGGGGAGGGCCCCATCCCCCAACCATCAGCTGTCAGCCTCGTCATCGTCTATCCTCCCCACTGTTGCTGTCATTAGGCTTTGGGTGGCAAGGCTGAGAGGCAGGCGGGGCCAGACTGGGGGTGGCGGGAGCCCAGAGTCAGACAGAGGCATTTATTTGGCCTTGTTTGCTATGGGGATAATCACTCTAATGACACCCTTGATGTGTGTCATGCTTTGCAGTTTCACTGAACATTTCCTAATAATAACAGGGTCCATTGATGGATCGCTAATCCTGTGCAGCACTGTTCCCTAGCAGGTGGGGATTGTTAGTCCCAGTTCACAGATGAGAATCCTGAGGCCCAGAGAGGTTAAGGTCTTGTCTAAGAGCCACAGCTAGTAAGAGGCAGAATCCTAATTTGAGCCCAAGTCTGGTCACAAAGCGGGGCTCTCTCGCAACATCACACCTCGTATACATGAGTTCATTCAGACCTCAGATCTACTGATGTTAAACCCCAGCCTCATCCCTACTCTATGCTCATGCTTCTACAAGAGGGAGATTAGGGCCCGGAGAAGTCTGTCTTGGTTGGCAAGGAATTGACCCAAACCTCAGACATTGCTGGGCCTTGGCTGGCACTGTTTTCCTGGCGTTTATTTTGGGGTGGGGAGGTGGCCCAGGTCACAGTCAGCCTGGCCAGGGTACTCTTTACTGTTATACTGTTTTCTGTGGCTACAGTTTACTGCCAGCCTGTGGGTGACTCAGCTCTTTGAGGTCCCACTGGTCCAAAGGCCAGAGTCCTTCAGCAACTCTGCACATTGGGTCACTGCCCTAAAGACCGCAGAACAGCAGAGGTGGCCAGGTTGGCCACCTGTGCCTCACGATATTATGTCGAATTGAATGCCTGACTGGACAAGTGAGAAAGGAAGGAAAATGAGGGAGCAGGGGCGAGAGGAAGGAAAGAAGGAAGGAAGATGGGCTGACTCAAAATAGCAACAAACTGAAGAAACCAATAAAGGAACAAACCATTGCATGGATGAATGAGTACAGCACATGACCTGAGTGCGGGGTCAGCAGACAGGTGACCACCCTCCAGCCTCCATCGGCTCCAAGGCTCCCCCTTGGCCCCAATGTCCCATTTTCTGACACCCCACCCCCATCCTCCCTGAGGCCGGGAGTCCCCTGCTGTTCCAGCCGAGTCTCTGCTGCCCCCGTGTGGCTGCTATGCTCCCTGCACCGAAGGCTGCGTGCTCTGCTTGGGGTTCTCGCTTGGGGTGTGGGGTGTTTATGAATGGCTGAAGGAGAAGGAAAGCGGGTGCCAGGAGGTGGAACTTAAGAGTCCAGTCCCGCCTTTGGGATGCTTTGGCTGGGGACACAGGCCCTTTGCTCCTCACNAGAACCGAGTGATGGGAACCGAGTGATGGGAACAGGGGGGCTTTCTGGAGCTGGAGGAAGGATATCGCTTCCTGGAGGGACATCTAAGCTGTGATATGAAGGAGCAAGAAGTGTGCGGGGCCAAGGCACCAGGATTGGGGGTTTAGGGCAGGAAGAGGAGGGCTGGACAAAGCCCTGAGCAGTCAGAGTGCCCAGTGGGAGAGAGGGAGTGGGGCATTGGGGGCTGGAGGGGTTCCTCACACTGCTCCCCGAATCCCAACACATAGGGAAGAATCACACAGCAGTGGTGGCCCCTCAGGCAGTGGGAGGCCTCAGCCTGATCCTGCTGTCCTGAGCCCAGCCAACTCTAGCCACAAACTCATGCTAGAGAAGGGCAGTGCCCTGTCTTCAGCCCAGGCATTTTTCCAGCACGTAGCATCTTATGAGATCCCTACCTCCACCTTCTAGAGGAGAACTGAGGCTGGGAGAGGCTGCCACAGGAGTGAGAAAGCAGAGCCTTAGCTCCCTCCCGTCAGGCCACCTAGCCTCTCTGGGCTCAGTGTCCTCATCCGGAAGAAGGAGATGATGATAAAATCATCCCCATCCAGTGGTTCCACCCCGGGATTTATTCTAAGGGAAAAATCCCAACAAGTTTTCTGTCTGCTGTGAGTCATCCTGGCTGAATTTATTTATAACAGCAGAATCTGGAAACAGTGAGAAGGTCTGACCTGGGGCTGTGGTACTGTCTTAGGAGGGAATGTCACTGGCTTTTGAGACTGACAATTGATGTCCTTAGGATGTCACTATGGCAGTGCAAAGAGACCTTTCAGGCAATGTTAAGAACAACAACAAAAAAATCAATCCCCAACATGGTATAACCTCACGATTTTGATATAAAAATCACATAGGAATGGACAGGGGCTGGACAGGGGCTGGGTGGGCTGCGGAGGAATGAGAGGAATATGAAATAAGGATGCAGGGACTATTTATTTACTGCTGACCTTGGTTACCAGAATGTAATTTGTGGGCTAAATGAAACCATGACAAAGATCTACAGAGCACCGCAGACCAGCTCTGCCCAGGTTGGGAAAGTCTTGGGAATCTGGTGAATGGGGGATGGGATGGGACCGGACCTGGTTAACGGGAGAGTGAGAGGCAGACATGAGGGACTCCGACCGAAATAGGCAGGGCCTGGGTGCCAGCAGGGGGCAGGCACAGAGGTCAGCAGGCAACGGGCAGGGCAAGGTGGCAAAGCACAGCCAGGCTCCCCTGACACCTGAGAGTGAGGATCCGGGGGGCTGAAGGACTGAAGCCAGCGCTCTGGTTGGCAGAAAAGGGGGGCAGGGTCGGGGGCAGGAAAGGAAAAGCCCCAGGAAGGTGACACGAAATGATGACAATTAATGCTCATTTATTTATTCATTTATTGAGTACCAGCCTTGGGATGGGATGGGAAGAATTCCCAAGGGAAGTGAGGTCTATGCTGAGACCAGAAATATGGAGGAGGCAGAAGAGGAGGCGTCAGAGTCGTAGTTATAATATAATAGGTTCCCTTCTATTTGCTATTTGCCAGGCTCTGTTTCAAGCACTTCCCGTGTATTAACCTATCGAGTACTCAGAAGCTTCTATTATTACCCCCGTTTTACAGATGAGGAAGCTGAGGGCTAGAGGAGATATTTGCTGCCAGACAACCTGGCTCCGACCTGTGCTTGTCTTGAGGACTCACCCAGGCCGAGACAGGGAAGTACTCCAGGCAAAGGAAACAGCATGTGCAAAGTCCTGGAGTTGGGTTGTGTTCACACTGTGTGGGGCACTTCACATGGGTTAGCTCACTGAATCTTCCCAGCAGTCCCTGAGTTAGGCCTCACTGCCCCATTTTAAAGGTGAGTAAGTGGAGGACCTCAGAGAGGTCCAAGACCACACCAAGGCCTGGGAGCCTGCAGGTGAAAAGTGAAAATCCCTAGCTGGGGTTGGGAAAAGGGTCCCTGGCTGGGGGCAGGAGCTGAGGGATAGGGAGTGCCAGCCTGGGAGTTGAGAGACCTGGGTTCATGTCCTGACCCTGTACTTACTCACCATCCCTTTCCCTCCCTCCTGTCGTCTGTAAATGGGGAGGGGAACATAAAGAGAAAAGATGGTGAGGGGTGTGTCTGGTGTCTTAAGGCCTTTCCCAAGCTCCGTGCCTGCCACACAAGGGAAGGCAGGAGCTGTGTCCCCATCCATCCCTGGCCTGGGCAATCTGAGTGTAAGTAATGTCACGTGGATCTAACCTCAACCTTTCTGGGATTCCTCTCACTTGGCTACTGTACAAGTTCCAGGAATGGCTCCGGTGAGTGGATTCTGTGTCACAGGCTCTTCCTTAGAGAGCAGTGGGACATAGGCCTCCAGGGAGATTCCCTCAGGTCAAAGAAGGGAGTTGCTTCCACCCAAGGAGCCACTGGAGCGGAAAGATGAGGAGACCTCAGACTGGTCCCAGTCCCATGTCCCCAAGGCTGGGTGCCTTGGGCAAGTCACTGATGGTACTTACCAGTAAAACAGGGCCATTATTGGTGTCCCACCGATATCCCCACCCCAGGCCTGGTAGGAGGGTCCTGCGAGATGGCATGGTTGCCTCTGGGACTCACCATTCAGGTGGTATTCTGCCACGTCCACGGCCATGACGCCCACTGCAGTGGCTGAGACTGGAAGGGAAAAGAGAGTCAGCAGAGAGGGGTTCAGAAGGTCTCCAACATCAACCCTGTGCCCTGGCCTCCCTGGTGCCCATGTTCCTATCCTCCAGAGAGCACACTCAGCTGTGGGCCCCCCACCATGCAAAAGTAGGTGGTTTTTATAATTGCATTTTAAAAAAAAGGTATTTAAAGCTCTCTTTAAGCACTCTAAGACCTCACTTCAGGGTTGCCAGATAAAACACAATACACCCAGTGACATCTGAATTCCAGATTCGTTTTTAGTATAAGTATGTCAAAATATTGGGGCGTACTTATATTAAAAATGTATTCATTGTTTATCTGAAACGCAAAAGTTGTGGCATCTGTATTTGTATTTGCTAACCCTGGCGTCCCTACATCACTTCCATCCTATCAACAGGCTGACCAGCAGCCTCTCTTTGTTACTCATTAGAGCGGCCCCCTAGCAGTACAATCAGGAGTCACAAAACCGGTCACCAANTGACAGACAATCTGTTGAGCGCTTACCAAGGACTGGACTAAGGAGTTGGCATATATTAACCCATCCCCTCAAGAATTATGATGCCCGTTTGACAGACAGGAAAACTGAGTCACAAACAGCCTAGATGACTTCCCCAGTCACAATGCTAGGAAGTAGGAGACCAGGATTTGAACCCAAGCAGACAGGCTCCAGGGTCCTGCTTTTAGCCACCCACAGAACTGCCCTTCAGAACCTGGGCTGCTGCCTCTTGGATCCTGCATGCACATGGCTGGTGGTCAGGTCTAGACCCTTCTAGACTGAGGGGGCAGGGTGGGACGGGAGAGGGATGACAGTCCCCACCACTGAGGCACAGCCTATGTTTCAGTAGGGCAATGGTGGCCAGACACAGGTGGATCTCTGAGGAGTCAAAAGGCACTCGGTCCTACAGGTCCTTAGGCTCCTGCTCTGGTCAGAGGCTACGGTGTGTTGGCCTCGCCCCCCTCAAAGGACTCCCAGCTTCGGTGTTTGGACCCTCCAGCCAGCCTGGATGTTCTGGATGTGCTGGGCAGTAGGATGTGTCTTATGTAGGCTCCACTCTCTCAGGCAAGGCAGAGGGACCCTTGGAGTGAGGGGTAGTGCTGGCCGATGGGGGTGTGCTGGGTGCCTCTCCTTGCCCCTCCTGGCTTACCCCCACCCTACCCCACCCTGCTTTCTGCTCCAGGAGCTGACCTCCGTGGGCTGCATCAACAGGCTCCCTTAACTAAAGGGCACAGTGCCTATCAAGGTGGCCCTCTCCACACACCTGTTTCCTCTTGGGCCTGGTAACCTCCCCTTCCCCTCATCAGTTCAGACCAGGGTACCATGCCATCCTTGAGGTCGCCCTGCACCCTACCCATACCATTGTTAATAGTCCTGTTATTAAGCTCTCCCCAAATTAGCCAACTTGAGTGTGTCATCCCTTCCCTGCCAGGACCCCAAGTTGACACAGGGGACAGGTATGGAAATGGACACCTACCACACACTGGATTCATGTGGTAAGAATGCCGAGAACTGTGCACAATGAAAGCCCACAGCTGGGGACCCCAAACTCCCGGTTCTGTCCTCCCTATAGTCAACACTTTCAGCTCTGGGACCAGAATCCAAACCCACCCTCCAGCGCCCTCCTCAGATCCTGCCTGGCTGTGCAGACCTGTTTGCCTGGGGAGGACTCCTGAGAGACGGTAGCACACCTCTGCCCTGCCCCACAGCCCCCACTTACCCGGGAAATGCCCACGATCTGCTCGTCTGGCAGCAGGCTGACGCGCATGAAGCAGGACTCGAAGCTGGCTTCCTCCCGCTCCAGGAGGTCCTTCCCCTGCAGCACGGCCACGTGGAGGGTGTGGGAGGTGGCATCGTAGTCCATGCTCACCTCCACCTGGCCCAATGTGAAGTCCTGTCCGAAGGTGTTGCTCACGGAGGAGATGGAGTTGAGGGAGTCCGCCGACTGGGACTTCCGGAGGGTCCCATAGGGGGCCAGGTCCAGCTCACGGCCCATCAGCTCCAGGGGCCCCAGCTCACTGATGCTCTCGAAGGTGTCCTCGATGCTGAGACTGCCTTTGCGACTGGGTGGTCCCCGAGTGCTGGGCCGCTGGGCATTCCAGGCAGGCACTCTCTGGGGGTAAGAAAAGAGGATATGGGAGCATCACAAGGGCAATGGTGTTGAGATGACAAAGAGATGCAGTAAGCTCTGCTCATTCGAGGTACCTCCAAGTTCACCTTTTGCAAAAACAGGGCATACCTTAGTTCAGAAGGCCCTTGCTTAATGTTAATTCATGTCACTCAGTTTTCTCTCTCTACTCAGATGTAAGAGAGCTTTTTCTTAAAATGTTCATTTATATGGATTGAGTCCTATACATAAAGATGTTC